CAGGAGAATAGATTGTGACAGGATTAAGATAACCGTTGTGCTGAGAAGGAACTACATAGCTCATCCAAGAAATGTCAAGGGCACAATAAAAAGGCAGTTCAATAATTCCGATGATCTCATTCAGGCGCTGAAAAACACATTTCCTGGAACTCCTGTACAAGCCATAGCACTAGAGACTTTAACTATCAGAGAACAAATACAATTAATGACGGAAACGGATATTCTTATCGGCGTGCACGGTGCAGGGTTGGCACTGTCGTTGTTCCAGGTTCCAGGAACAGGTCTGATTGAACTCTTCCCTTTCGAGTATAAACATCACAGAAACAATCACATGGAACATTTGGCTGTTTGGGGTGGTAAACTCTACAGCAGTTGGTACAGCGACAACAGGTTTGCCAATACTGTGCACGTTCCTCCACGAGTCCTGACAGATATGGTGGTTGATATGGGCAAACGAGTATGTGGACACTCTGTCTAAGAAAATATTTAACAGAATAAAAGCTGTAAAAACTGTCTTATGTCATACAATGTGAAATTGTGGTGTTATGTTTTCTGGCATTATCTATCCACTGTAAGTCCTTGTATATATTTTTGACGTCAATAAGCAGTAATCTACCACACACATGTCATTTGAGGACTAAAAGTGTATTTGTTGACTTTGATCCGCTGATGAGGACAGTGTTCACGTGAACAGATTCCATCACGTGGGAGTGGCGAGTGACCTCACGTAACTGAGCACAATCAAGCCGGAGGTTGTTCATTTCCCGATTCCCGCTGAACGTTAAGATGTCGAGTGCTTAAATAACATTGTCATTCGAGCGGAGAGTGATGGACATTTATGATTAAGATAGACAAAATGTGCGTTGTTTCGATGCTTAAATGGTGTATTTCAAGGGCGTGTAAGAAACAGGTCTGTGAAGTCATGCTCTCATATATTACTTATATTACAGCTTGTTGTTTCAAAATATGTGAATAGATTGTCTGCCACAAACTTTCGTCTGGTACTTCAATCCGGCTAGGGTCCATGCAGGTAGCAGAGGTACTGTAAGTCCCCATGGTCCCTAGTATAGGGATCTACCTTCAGTTGTTGGCGATCTATAGCCAATCCTTTTATACTGTATTGTCCTAATTTGAAATCCAATTTTGGAGAGAGGTGTGATACTGTGATATTCTACTTGGTTTTACTGTCCTTCGTTGACAGCTTTTTATAATTTTCATGTATTTAGGGTGAATTTACAACTTGTTTTGGTCACGATATGGCTGAAATATTACCGATGTGACTGTAAATCCTAACTCACTCACTCACTCACTCACTTGTTAGTGAGCTGTTATGAGGATGTGTTTTTGTTGGTTTAAATGTCAGATTAATTCAGTTTTAGCTGTTCTGGGTAACAACTATTTAAAGTGCTGAGTGTGGAATTGAACTCACACCTTGAACTTAGGCTATGTAATTTCACCTGTTAAGAGTAAGCTGAGGTTGGTTGGTCGGTTTTATAGTTTTAGGGCGACGTGGGCCAATAAGAGGCCTATTTGCGCCCAACACATTGACTTGATTTAATAAACAATAATAGGTAATTTCATCGCCAAAAGGAATCGTTTAGTTAAGATATAAGAAACGACAACACTATTCATATTAATTTGGATAAATGTATACATATATCGAATAACCTCTGCTTTGTGTTACGGATTAAAAACCTTAAGCAATCACTCCCATTTCTGAAACATGAAATACTGATTCATTAAAAAAGCAGTAGGTTCAGGTGACAGCGTGCTAAAATGATTTAAAACCACAGAACTAAATCTGTCTAAGTCATTCGAGAGCCTGTCTAGATTACATCATATTTTCCAGATGACGAGACAAAATCTAAAACTGCCCGTTGCACAGACCCATACAAGATATTGGGGCCCAAAACTGTTTCTAAGGAAAATACATCATCAACCTCAAGTACAGCACTTCTGAGATTTTGTCTTATGTTGTCATGCCCAGGGCATGTAATTAGATAATGTTCGACATTTTCAGGCGTCTCCAAATTGCAATGGCCACATTTAGAAGAGACTGTCTTATCTATAAGACTCCTGTAAGCATTTAACCCACAGTGTCCAAGTCTGAGACGTGAAAGAATAACTTCATCACGCCTTTTACGACGATGAATTTTATGACCAGATTTTAAAGATGGTCTAATTTTGTACCACATCTTTGTTATGCTTCCAGTGTTACACTGTGGGATTCATTCCAGTGATTTCTATACCCAAAAACACTACCACCTACAATCCCCACCAACACTACCACCTACAATACCCAGTATTACCAACCAACACTACCACCTACAATCCCCACCAACACTACCACCTACAATACCCAGTATTACCCTCCAACACTACCACCTACAATCCCCACCAACACTACCACCTACAATCCCCACCAAAACTACCACCTACAATCCCCACCAAAACTACCACCTACAATCCCGACCAACACTACCACCTACAATCCCCACCAACACTACCACCTACAATCCTCACCAACACTACCACCTACAATACCCAGTATTAGCCACCAACACTACCACCTACAATACCCAGTATTACCGACCAACACTACCACCTTCAATACCCAGTATTACCCACCAACACTACCACCTACAACCCCACCAACACTACCACCTACAATCCCCACCAACACTACCACCTACAATCCTCACCAACACTACCACCTACAATACCCACCCCCCTCTCAGATGACGTAATCATAAGGACATTACTCCTTCTAATGTCTTCTCTTATTTATACATGATACCAAGGGTTCAAACTAAATAATGAATGGTCAGCTCTCAATATATTGTAAACAGCGCCAGCTTGAATATCTGGACACAATGTTTTTGACAAATTCAAATGGGGGTGTCCTTAAAAACCAGCCCCCGTCTAAATATAAATAAAGCAATCCAAATCTTTTAATGTTGATTATGACGGGAAGTCATCCAATACTATACTGAACATATTTTATATGATATTATCTGAGGGCATACCATTATCCAAGAGGTACCAAATGGCAGATCGTTTTTCATTTTCTGCAATTTTTAAAGAAATATTATACCCCAATGTGTCGTAATGACTAGTATCTCGTTAACCTTATTACCCACATATGTGACGTTTGGATATGGCTTTGCTAATGATTCCTTAAAAAAAATGGAAACATTTCAAACATTGGACATGGAGAATATAGTTAGGCCGACTACTTTTTGAACGCCCCTCGTCCACCCCACTAACAATACTACCTCCAATTCCTATTAACACTACTACCTACTATTCCAACTAATGCATACAATCACCACTAGAACGACCACCTACAATCCACACTTCCAACACCACCTACTATCCCACTAACACCTACAGTCCCCACCACCTACAATCTTCACTAACACTAACACTTACATTCCCAACTAACAATACTACTTCCAATCCCAAATATCACCACTACGATATCCCACTAACATCTACAATCCCCACCACCTATTACCTCACTAACAGTTAAAATCCCCACCACCTACTATCCCACTAACACCTACAATCCCCACCACCTACTATCCCACTAACACCTACAGTCCCCACCACCTACTATCCCACTAACACCTACAGTCCCCACCACCTACTATCCCACTAACACCTACAATCCCCACCAACCTCACCCCCGCAACCCCATCCATCCCCACCACCTACTATCCCACTAACGCCTACAATCCCCACCACCTACTATCCCACTAACACCTACAATCCCCACCAACCTCACCCCCGCAACCTCATCCATCCCCACCACCTACTATCCCACTAACACCTACAGTCCCCACCACCTACTATCCCACTAACACCAATAGTCCACACCACCTACTATCCCGCTAACACCTACAGTCCCCACCACCTACTATCCCACTAACACCTACAGTCCCCACCACCTACTGTCCCACTAACACCTACAATCCCCACCACCTACTATCCCACTAACACTTACAGTCCCCACCACCTACTATCCCACTAACACCTATAATCCCCACCAACTACTATCCCACTAACACCTACAATCCCCACCACCTACTATCCCACTAACACCTACAATCCACACCATTTACTATCCCACTAACACCTACAATCCACACCAACCTCCCCCCCCCCCCCAACCTCCTCCATCCCCACTATTTTATTCGAACTAATGCTTGAAAATATTTACCCCAGTAGTCCATAAGCACGACATGTAAATACAACAAAATCCTTCTAGATCATTACGACATGTAAATACAACAAAAGCCTACGAGATTAAAACCACTACATGTAAATACAACAAAAGCCTACGAGATTATTACCACTACATGTAAATACAACAAAACCCTACCAGATTATAACCACTACATGTAAATACAACAAAACCCTCCGAGATTAAAACCACTGCATGTAAATACAAGAAAACCCTACCAGATTAAAACCACTACATGTAAATAGAACAAAACCCTACCAGATTATTACCACAACATGTAAATACAACAAAACCCTACCAGATTACAACCACTAAATGTAAATACAACATGATCATAACGTGTGATGCTGAATCGGAAGGAGACCTGAATGTTGTCAGATAGGAAATAATTAAATATGACCTTATTCTTTATGGACTGGTGGTGTTTCAAAACACACCATTTCTTTCATTTAGCAGAAAAGGCAAACACTTTCTGGACCAACAATACACTTTATTCACAACTCCAAATAATTTTCGCTTGGATTTGTTAGAACGAATTTTCTTTTTCAAATATCTCAGACCCTTAAGAATATCAAGTAGTCGATTCGACTGATTAAAACATTTCCATCGTGCCCCGCCCAAGAAAACACTGTCCTGCTGGACAGAATCTTGAATCGTTTCAGTATATATCCTCCTGTGATGAACAGACATACACGGTGTCAGACTATAGCAGAACCTTTTGCTGAACAGAATGACACTGTAATATACCTGGCCCTCAGTTAATCTTATGATGACCCTCAGTACAGTTGCAAATTCTTCCACGGGTATTTACCACCATATCCGTCAGAACACCTGGAGGTACGTAAACAGAGTTGGCAAACATGATGTCGCTGTACCAACTGCTGTAGAACCTTCCACCCAAAACAGCCAACTTTTCCATGTGATTGTTTCTGTATAGTCTATAGTCGAAGGTGAATAGTTCAATCAGCCCTGTTCCTGGAACTTGAAACAATGTGAGTGTCAACCCTGCACCGTGTACGCCGATAAGAATGTCCGTTTCGGTGGCCAGTCTTATTTGTTCACTGACAGTTAACGTCTCCAACGCCACGGCTCTCACTAAATCCTTAGGAAATGTGCTTTTCAGAGACCGAGTTAAGTCATCTGAATTATTGAACTGCCTGCCGATAATACCTCCAAAGTTTCGTGAATGAGCTATATAGTTTCTTCTCAACACAAGAGTTATCTTAATCCTGTCACAATCTATTCTTCTGCCCTGAAATCCACCTGCCCGATATGAAACATCATACCGGAAGTCGTCGATGTAGGGAACAGGCTTTTCGCCACGCACAATTGGCACAAGTTTTAAATGGGGAACTAGGGCAAACTGTTCCAGGAATGTTGTTGTTTTCAACCACCCAACTCTGACAACCTTCTTGAAGAACAGTTCCCACAATCCGTCTAGACCAGTAGCTGGATGGGCGTCAAGGATGAGAATGGTGGTCTCGGCAGCAGCTCTGTTCATTTCCCGGGCAGTTAGATATGCGCTGTACAGCTCTATGACGGTCCAGTACATATTTGCATAGTCGGAACGAATAATTCCAACAGTCAGTCCCTCTAGACTGCCCTCATACATTGTCGTACCCCCCTCGAGTTCAGCAATAGCAGTTATGATAGTGTACATAGAATTGGGTGCAATGCGGTTTTGTTTATATGCCAGTTTAAACATTTTCTTCAGACGAGATTTGCCTGAACAGGCTGTTGTTACGAATCTGTCAGTGAAGGTGAAATATTCCATGTTCTCTTTCTGATACCTGACATGAGTTATGTCCTCCCCTCCTCTCCTGACTCCGACAGCCTTTGAGGAGTTGATCACAACATTCTGCAGGTGGATTACATGTGACTGCAAGTACTCCATTTCCCCCGAACACTGATAGAGGTTTCTTCCGTTTATCATTCTGGCTGCTGAGGTTCTCGAGGTAATGCCATGTTTCTTATTTAGTGTCAGAAGTAACATCAACAGGTATCTGACCGTAGCAACAATGCAGATTGTCTTTAACGCTAACTGTACTGACTTTGAACGGCACTGACATCTACCCATTTTGCTGACGTTTTTGTGTCCATAGTTCCCGTACCATCTCATGATCATTCAGTCAGTTGTTTGGCTCACATACTCAGCTATGTTGGCCATGAACTACTGGTTGGCTCATTGTCCGATACAAGGCTGATGTACAGGCGCACAGGCCGGTATTGCGTCCTGAATCCGTGCCAGTTGACACAGGCAGGTATTGAATACAGTCCTTGAATCAGATATACGAATCCGTGCCAGTTGACACAGTCAGATATACGAATACAGTGCCAGTTGACACAATCAGATAAACGAATACAGTGCCAGTTGACACAATCAGAAATACGAATACAGTGCCAGTTGACACAATCAGAAATACGAATACAGTGCCAGTTGACACAGTCAGATAAACGAATACTGTACCATCTTACACAGCCGACACAAACAGATCTACGGTATATGTTCCTGTTCAAGCTCACACAGTCAGGTATATGGTCCTGTTCCAGTTCACACAGTCAGGTATATGGTCCTGTTCCAGCTCACACAGTCAGGTATATGGTCCTGTTCCAGCTCACACAGTCAGGTATATGGTCCTGTTCCAGCTCACACAATCAGGTATATGGTCCTGTTCCAGCTCACACAGTCAGGTATATGGTCCTGTTCCAACCCACACAGTCAGGTATATGGTCCTGTTCCAGCTCACACAGTCAGGTATATGGTCCTGTTCCAGCTCACACAGTCAGGTATATGGTCCTGTTCCAGCTCACACAATCAGGTATATGGTCCTGTTCCAGCTCACACAGTCAGGTATATGGTCTTGTTCCAACCCACACAGTCAGGTATATGGTCCTGTTCCAGCTCACACAGTCAGGTATATGGTCCTGTTCCGACCCACACAGTCAGGTATATGGTCCTGTTCCAACCCACACAGTCAGGTATATGGTCCTGTTCCAGCTCACACAGTCAGGTATATGGTCCTGTTCCAGCTCACACAGTCAGGTATATGGTCCTGTTCCAGCTCACACAATCAGGTATATGGTCCTGTTCCAGCTCACACAGTCAGGTATATGGTCTTGTTCCAACCCACACAGTCAGGTATATGGTCCTGTTCCAGCTCACACAGTCAGGTATATGGTCCTGTTCCAACCCACACAGTCAGGTATATGGTCCCGTTCAAGATCACACAGTCAGGTATATGGTTCTGTTCCAACCCACACAGTCAGGTATATGGTCCCGTTCCAGCTCACACAGTCAGGGATATGGTCCTGTTCAAGCTCACAAAGTCAGGTATATGGTCCTGTTCCAGCTCACACAGTCAGGTATATGGTCCTGTTCCGACCCACACAGTCAGGTATATGGTCCTGTTCCAGCTCACACAGTCAGGTATATGATCCTGTTCCAGCTCACACAGTCAGGTACACACATGGGACCTGTTGCTTGTGTTGGTGTGGCGTTTGATGTCTTCATCCACGTGTCATCCAGTCTTCAAATGCTTTTCCAATCTTCTTTAAAGCGTACATCCAGACACATTCAGCTTGAAATCTGCATATCCTGTAATTATAACAAACACATTTTGTGAATACTGATACGTTGATTATTATAGTAAACCCTAAAACATCAACCATGTACACATAATGAAAAATCTCGCAGAAAAACACATGAAGCTTTGTGACAAGATTCTCTTGAACATGGCAAATATTTGAATCGCCGTTTGGACGCATCATTGGAGTTATAGGTGCTATTTTAACCCGTAATTCCCGTGGGAAAACTTTAAATAGTCATGCCGCATGTCTCTACAGAAAATTTCTTTACAAAATCTTTAAAACATGAATTTAAGAATATTTTAAAGTTAACAGAAAATTGGGCACATTGTGCGATAGAAACAGCACTAAACGAAATGAAAGGGAATAATAGAAAGCAGACTAACATGAACAAACAATTCAGTCTTCGACACCGAACGTTACATAATACTATACACGAGGTGGACGTTTGTACCTTTTCTACATATGGAATAACAACAACCACTCTTCGTCTTTGTTGCCAAATATACGCCGTCTATCCTGTGTAAGAAGGATGCAAGGAAGTGTCATCTCAACAACGGTACTTAGTCTGTAATTAGTTATCCAGTAGGGGCCGTCTATCCTGTGTGGCAGCAAAGATGTGGCAATTAAACAACGCTACTTTGTCTGTAATTAGTTATGCAGTAGGGGTCGTCTATCCTGTGTGGCAGCAAAGATGTGGCAATTAAACAACGCTACTTTGTCTGTAATTAGTTATCCAGTAGGGGTCGTCTATCCTGTGTGGCAGCAAAGATGTGGCAATTCAACAACGCTACTTTGTCTGTAATAAGTTATCCAGTTCGTCTATCCAGTAGGGGTACTTTGTCTATCCTGTGTGGCGTCTATCCTGTGTGGCAAAAGATGTGGCAATTCAACAACGGTACTTTGTCTGTAATTAGTTATCCAGTAGGGGTCGTCTATCCTGTGTGGCAGCAAAGATGTGGCAATTCAACAACGGTACTTTGTCTGTAATTAGTTATCCAGTAGGGGTCGTCTATCCTGTGTGGCAGCAAAGATGTGGCAATTCAACAACGGTACTTTGTCTGTAATTAGTTATCCAGTAGGGGTCGTCTATCCTGTGTGGCAGTAAAGATGTGGCAATTCAACAACGGTACTTTGTCTGTAATTAGTTATCCAGTAGGGGTCGTCTATCCTGTGTGGCAGCAAAGATGTGGCAATTCAACAACGGTACTTTGCCTGTAATTAGTTATCCAGTAGGCAGCGTCTATCCTGTGTGGCAGCAAAGATGTGGCAATTCAACAACGCTACTTTGCCTGTAATTAGTTATCCAGTAGGCAGCGTCTATCCTGTGTGGCAGCAAAGATGTGGCAATTCAACAACGGTACTTTGCCTGTAATTAGTTATCCAGTAGGCAGCGTCTATCCTGTGTGGCAGCAAAGATGTGGCAATTCAACAACGGTACTTTGCCTGTAATTAGTTATCCAGTAGGCAGCGTCTATCCTGTGTGGCAGCAAAGATGTGGCAATTCAACAACGGTACTTTGCCTGTAATTAGTTATCCAGTAGGCAGCGTCTATCCTGTGTGGCAGCAAAGATGTGGCAATTCAACAACGGTACTTTGCCTGTAATTAGTTATCCAGTAGGCAGCGTCTATCCTGTGTGGCAGCAAAGATGTGGCAATTCAACAACGGTACTTTGCCTGTAATTAGTTATCCAGTAGGCAGCGTCTATCCTGTGTGGCAGCAAAGATGTGGCAATTCAACAACGCTACTTTGCCTGTAATTAGTTATCCAGTAGGCAGCGTCTATCCTGTCCAGTGTGGCAGTTAACAACGATGTGGCAATTTAACAACGCTACTTTGTCTGTAATTAGTTATCCAGTAGGGGTCGTCTATCCTGTGTGGCAGTAAAGATGTGGCAATTCAACAACGGTACTTTGCCTGTAATTAGTTGTCCAGTAGGCAGCGTCTATCCTGTGTGGCAGTAAAGATGTGGCAATTCAACAACGGTACTTTGCCTGTAATTAGTTGTCCAGTAGGCAGCGTCTATCCTGTGTGGCAGTAAAGATGTGGCAATTCAACAACGGTACTTTGCCTGTAAGAAGTTATCCAGTAGGGGTCGTCTATCCTGTGTGGCAGCAAAGATGTGGCAATTCAACAACGGTACTTTGCCTGTAAGAAGTTATCCAGTAGGGGTCGTCTATCCTGTGTGGCAGCAAAGATGTGGCAATTCAACAATGCTACTTTGCCTGTAATTAGTTATCCAGTAGGCAGCGTCTATCCTGTGTGGCAGCAAAGATGTGGCAATTCAACAACGGTACTTTGCCTGTAAGAAGTTATCCAGTAGGCAGCGTCTATCCTGTGTGGCAGCAAAGATGTGGCAATTCAACAACGGTACTTTGCCTGTAATTAGTTATCCAGTAGGCAGCGTCTATCCTGTGTGGCAGCAAAGATGTGGCAATTCAACAACGGTACTTTGTCTGTAATTAGTTATCCAGTAGGCAGCGTCTATCCTGTGTGGCAGCAAAGATGTGGCAATTCAACAACGGTACTTTGTCTGTAATTAGTTATCCAGTAGGCAGCGTCTATCCTGTGTGGCAGCAAAGATGTGGCAATTCAACAACGGTACTTTGTCTGTAATTAGTTATCCAGTAGGCAGCGTCTATCCTGTGTGGCAGCAAAGATGTGGCAATTCAACAACGGTACTTTGTCTGTAATTAGTTATCCAGTAGGCAGCGTCTATCCTGTGTGGCAGCAGGTGTAGATCCATGAAAACTGTACAGTGTCTTTGCTATCAAGTAACCAGCGTCCATCCGGTGCAGAAATGGGGACACGGCATCACAATGAAGGGCCGTCTTCGTTAGCCAGTAAACACCGTCTACCACGTGTAATTACAATATATGCAACCGAACTGTATCCTCGTTTTCAGCATGAAATCACGTGAAGACTACTGGACATGAGACATGGCGGACATAGCGTCGGCGTGTGTTGTTGTGTCCTGTCTGTGTTGAAGGATTGACATGCAAACCCAAGCCCGTGTCTCGCCGAGTCATGTTGGTGCAGTTTGCCTTGTCGTGTGTGCAGTGCGATTATTTAGGAAAGAACACTCGAGATCGCAAACAAGCAGCCATATTGTGCCCCTTCCTCCGTGTCACGTGACCATCACAACCAGCAGGTTCAAGCCTTACAATCAAACTATGTAGTAGGTCCGTTATGACACAAACACTCGGAGAAACGAGTTATGACGTTCCCCGAACGTCCCTTCTTCTCCGAAACGATGGAGGGGAAGTCTGTGCTCAACAGCTGACTTAAACAGTGGTATTGTGTGCGAAC